TGCAGGATCATATAGTGAAGCCACGTTTCATCTCCTGCTACAATTCTTCAAGAAAATGCTTCAGGATCTTGATCCCACTTTAAAATTTCCATCGAAAGCTCTGCTTTTGCCTGGGGCTGATCTGGGTGCAACTTTGGTTTGTAACTTTAATTTTTCAGACAGAGTAGGACAAGCTAAACTAATTGAGATGTTATAGTATTGGCTATTGTTTCTGTTTAGGTTTCAAGTTAGGGCAAGAACAAGACTAATTTTTTCTTTGAATGTTGACATGGATGGTCTGCTGCTGCCGGCTTCATCTTCTACATCATCTTGTCTCTTCTTAAAACAAGTCATCCATTTGAAAACTGATTTCTTTGTGGCATTGTCCCCATAAACTTTTCATAAAGCATTAATCATTTCATTATTCTTCCACCTAAGCTTCACCATGAATTTGATGTTTGTTCTTGCTTCATTTTTAGCAGGATTCGTGTTGCTTGCCTAGAGGCTCTTTTCAAAGTGATGTTTTATCCTTAGTAACGCTTCAAAGGAGATCCAGCTCAGACAGGTTATAAACAAGTTTGTACAAGTTTATTCTGATGGAAAAAAAAATCTGAACTTCATGTATGCTTTCTTCATAATACCCATTTCCATGAACTTCTCAAAGACCCCTCATATAGAACACAAACTTTTATCTCACCCGAGAAGAGCAAGATGTATGAGAAACAGGTTTGCTAATGTGGGAAAATGGCCCATGAGCTTTGCTCAGTCATCACACAATGAACCAGAAGTTTGAAACTTAACACTTCTCACTCAGTTCTAGCAATGAACACCAACTCTGCTCTGGTTTGCAATATGAAATGTTATTTGATATTGTTTGGAACATTATAGAAATATTTAATGTTTTTAAATGAAAGATTTACTGAAGTCTGATCACTGCCAACACAACGCATCCACAGTGCTATATATTAATTACATGATGTTCAGTCAATGGGGGAAGTTCAGCAGAGTCTGTAATGCTTTATTTTAAAAGCAGATCTGAATAAAATATGATAGCACATTCCCATTTGCAAATTCTGGATAGTGGTATGTGCTATGTTATTATTTTCTCTGTTCTGTGCTTTACATAAAGAGTAAATAGATGTGAGTTTTATGATATATTCCTCTTTACGAAATCCCCAGTATTTTCTCCATTACGTCCAGTAGTGAGCTGTGAGTAGACATTCATGAGAACATGAAGACTCGAGTTCTTGCAGGGATGGGCATGTTTCAGAAAGTTCGTGACCCTACAAATTTGTCCCTCTGTGATATGCCATTACTTGGACATCTAGTTCCATCTTAAGTGGCATATCAGATCTTTCCAGGGTTAAGTCATGCTCTGAGGAAGTCTCTAGTACCTGAAAGGAATCCTACACAGTAGATTAGAACAAGCTTCCACTAAGGCTTCTCCCAGTTACTGGGTGACTAGCAGGTTCAGGAGGTAGTGCTCATTCCCGTTATAGGAAGTAGGGCCAATCTATGATGTAGTGGTGAGGGATCGTGTCTCATGGCTCACCACCCTAGTCATTGTCTAACATGAAGTTTCTGAGAGTGTGTTTTCAAGAGCTTAGGAAAACTCGCAGAAATGTGAAACCAAACCCAACCAAGGCCCCAAACTAAAAGCTTCCACAGTCAAATACATTTAGGAAATATTAAACTGCTTTCTTTATCTCATCCAAGAAAGGATATAGTAGGATTTTTTTCCCCAAATTTATTTGCATTTTACAAATGCATTTGGTCACAAAACTATTTCTAAGAATATCTTTTTACTACTTTGAGAAACATACTTTAATAAGATTATCTCTGATTTCTGAAATCCTTAAATAGCCAGAGAGCAAGCTGATATTTCTAAAAGTCATGCTGATAACTAAGGGCAAGCTCTCCTTACCTATCAATTGATCAGCTCTCAAAGGCTGCTCTGTTATCTCCTATTCCTGGCTTGCTGTTTCTAAAATAAAAAAGGAATACCTCCTATTTCTTCTCTCTTTACTCCGTTTCTTAAAAAAAAAAGTATAGAGTCAGATTGTATAACCTCGGCTTTCCCCTGAGTACACTGCTGGGAATAGTGAAAAGCATTCCTGCAGCCTGTTACTTGACTCCTTATAATACGTGCTAGGTGATGCATTTGTGAATGGCAAGTCACCGTGAAATTGTGGAAACTTTGGTAGGAAAAACAGGATCCAATTCTTCTGATGTCTGGTTAGACAGAAGAGAGAAAAGCTAAAGGATTTGTTTTATATTTACATTTGGTCTTGATAATGAGCTATTAACTTAATCATGTGGCAAATTGTGGCCTATTTGGAGGACAGTAGAAGTCCTGTTGGAGACTAAAGGGTGAAGTATCTGGATCTGTGTGGTGGGGCCAGACTTTAGAGGTCTTAGAATGCCCAGATGAGAGTTTATCTCCTTTTACTGGGGTACCACTGGGGTTTATGAGTTAGGGGGCAGGTTTTCTCACCCTCAGCATTGTTGGTATTTTCAGCCAGATAATTCCTTGTAATGGCTGGGAGGAAGGGGAGGTACCAGCTAATGCAGGATATTAGCAGCATCCTTGGCAGCTGCCTCCTAGTTGCCCATTCTCCAAATAAGACAACCAAAAATGTTCAGATAATGTCTCCTGGGAACAAAGCTTCCACCTAATTGAGAACCAAAGAGCTGGAGAATGACACAATAATTGCGGTCTGGCTGTGGTTGTGGAGAATGAACAGAGGCTGGCAGGACAGAAGCCTGGAAGAATACATTAGAGGCTGTCCTGGTAATCCTAGGTGTGGCATATTGTTAGAGTAAGGGCCTCCCATGAAGTACAGTACATCTCCCTGGATCCATGGCCTTGAGTAGTCCCCTCCCAGTGTTAGTAGTCCCTTAATCTTGACTTAGGATTTGCCATGTAACTTGATTTGATGAATAAATATCAGCAACGATAACACAAGCTAAGGTTTGAAAGGCACACTGAGGCTTATCGACTTGGAACACTGCTACCAAGTGACAAAGCCCAAACTTGCTTCCTGGAGACACATGACTCAGTCTACAACCAACACCAACTTCCAGAGATGTGAGTGAGGCTCTCTAAGACCACATAGCCCCCACTGAGTCACTGTGACAGCTATCCAGTGATCCCAGGGAAGCCAGTAGAAAACCACCTGGCTGAGCCCTGCTCGAATTGATGACAATGGAATTACTAACAAATAAAATGACTGCTGTTTCCAATCACTACGTGCTGGTTGTATTATTATACAGTGATAAATAACTAACATAGTAGCTCTAAAGTAGATCAATACCAGTGGAAATAAAAAGTATATACAAGACGTTTGGAATAATCAATGTTTTTTGACAACTCTTCAGTAAAGGGGCTCAGGAAAGGTCATAGAATGTAGGAATTCAGAAATAATGAGCACAAAAGTCAGAGTAGAAATTCAGGAGTGAAGTCATGTAAGCAGACTGCAAAAAGCACTTTGGCAATTAAAAATATCATTAACTTATCTATTTCGAAGGATGCAGATATTTATTAACTGGTAACATATAATGATAATTATTCAAAGAGGCAGTGTAGTAAGTATATTTGTAAATCTTTAAAGGTATTTCTAAGATAGCCTTTTTTTTACTTTTTATGGAAAAATCAATCTTTAGAATAAACAGGAAAGCACATAAACTGAAAATCAATAACAACTTATACTGCACTAATGGTAAAATTCATTTCAAATATTAGCTGTGCAGTTGTAGAAAACTATATTCCCTTAGCAATTAGGTTGCTAAGACCAGGGATTCCAGTGGACTGTCTCTCATAATTTATCAGTTAAATATACAGATGGAGGTTATCAGTAGTATTTACAGCTCAATAAAAGCTATTCATGTTCATGATGTTTATTGTACAATTCGAGAAGAAACAGTTCCTCAGATGTTTAGTGCTAGGCTTTATGTTTAAGAACAGTAGCCTGGCGGGAACGTGCCTGTCAAATCTACTTAAGTATTAGACCTAAAAAATAAAAGTGATAAGTGATAAAGAGAATCCAGAATGCGATGAAAGGAAAATAGAGTCATAACTAAAAGAAGTGGCAACAACTAAAAGTTAGTCTAAAATGCAGAGAGAATGGATAATATAAATAAAGTAAAAACACCCAAACGTATTTTTCACAAGGTATGAGAATCACCTAAAGGATAAACGTTAAACAGTATGACAGATTCAGAGTCTCCTGGAAATGGATGAACAAGACTTTTTATAAAATAACCAAAATGGATGACTTTAAAAAATTTCTTATACATTAAGGAGTCAGTGTTAAAGAAACAATAACATTGTCGAAATAAGTGTTCAAACTCAAAGGGTAACATACCTTTATATATATAATTTCCATGAGGTTTGTTTAAACGGAGAAAAAAGTACCCCAGTCTTTGTTTAAAAGAATGTTGCCTGCCAAGTGACTTTGGTTGAGAAGGCAAGGATTAGAAAAACTGTATGGATTTGGAAGGCGGATGTAATTTCTAATGCTTATTAATAAGTAGTGAGACCTTAATGTTAGCCGGATGAAACAGTGTTAAAGAAAGTAGTAAAATTAGAGAATGGGGTCTTCTGGGAAATCCTGTACTTTGGTTTGTAAGAAAACTTGTATATAGAGAAGTTTACCAAATTTCCTGAATTAGAAAGAGAATAAAATGCACATAAGGTTAACCAATTTGGAATCTTAACCCTACCTACCTTTCTTCCCTGTCCTGTTAGTTAGCTTCTCACGCTCGTGCCAGCGCCGTATCTGGGGGCGAACAAAGCGCAGGGCTCTACCCGGCCACACAGTATTTAAGTCGAGGGGCAATGCTGCTGCAGCACCCCCAGTTCTGGCCAGAGGCCCCAACTCCAGCGCGGAAAGCACCGACTGGCTCCCGGAGGCGTGGGAACCAGAGCCGGGCGCTCCTCCTCCCCGGCTGGGAGGAGCCGGCCCCTCCGCGAAAGTGGCCAGTGCCACCGCGCGTCGCAGGCTCTCAGTCACCGGCGGGTGCTGCTTCGCGGTGCTCGGAGTCGGGGGCGCACCCTACAGCTCCCGGGGCCCGTAAGGGGGCGGCAGGGACCAGCGTCCGAGCGAGCCGCAAGGCCACCCTCTGACCCGCCCAGACTCATCGCTCCGCCTGGACATTCCCGCAAGTGGTCTAACCAGCCGGACCGGACGAGCCGAACTTGTCGCGGCTCCTGGCGGTAGCAGCAGGTGGCCCTGGACTTCCCTCCGACTCTGCTGCCGGTGAGGGCTGCTTGCTCCGTTGCGCTCGGTGGCCCTCTCCGCCCGCCCCCGCCAGGCGGGATGGAGGCGGACGCGGACCAGGAGGAGCTGGCCCGGCTCCGCGCGATCTTCGCCGCCTGCGACGCGAACCGCTCGGGGCGCCTGGAGCGCGAGGAGTTTAGCGCGCTCTGCGCGGAGCTGCGCGTGCGGCCGGTGGACGCCGAGGCGGTGTTCCAGCGGCTGGACACCGACCGCGACGGCGCCATCACCTTCCAGGAGTTAGCCAGCGGTTTCCGCGGGGCCAGCCGCGGGGGGCGCCGCCGGGGCTGGGGCCCGCGCCCGCCTGCGCCCGCCGCGCCCGAGGTGGGGTCTGAGACCCGGGACAGCGAGGAGGACGAGGGCGACGGGGACGCCGCGGCGGCGCTGACCGCCTCGTGGCGCCCGCAGAGCCCCGGCCGGGCTTGGCTGGACTTCCAGGAGCGACTTGGGGACGAAGCCAATTTCATCCCCAGGTGAGGGTACGGGTTGGGGGCGGAGGTGAAAATGGCGGTTCCTGATTTCTTTCCTCCGTCTTAACTTGCGGAGTGTGCTGACGCGGTGGACTGCACTCTTCCGTGCGAGTTGCTTTCCTCCACCTACTCGTTTTGACTTTAACAAGACAAGATCCCTTGGAGTTGAAGGAAGGGAATGCGTTCAGAGAATCAAGGTTAGGGGAGACAGTTTTCTTGCTGAATTCTGAGTCCTGCACTGGGCCCCTTGTTAATTGCACCGGCCGTCCCGAAATGCAGCAGGATTACGTCATCCTCTACCCCAGGCCTCCAGGTTGCACCCCAGCGCCTGGGCTGTTGGCCAATTTGGCATCCTCTCTAATAGTTTTTGGATATGTTGTTTTCCTAAGACTTACGTAGAAAAGACATTGGATATTTGTATTGCTGGACAAATACACTCATTGATGCCTAGTATGTGCGAGGCGTTTGTTTTACAGACTTCATTTTCAAAATATCCCTAGGAGATTGGCTTTGCTTATTCCTGATGGATGGAGGAACTCAGACCTAGAAATTAGATCGAGAGATATCAAAGTACTTGCCCAGTTGGTTAAAGAGCAGGGATTTGATCCTAGGTTTTGTGAACTGAAAAACTTAATTTTTATATGATGGGATAAAACGATAAAATAATGCATTTTATGCCCCTGTGACTCTGACAGAAATAAAATGTGAAGTTACTAACTTAATTCTGGTTGGGGGCGGGGAGGAAGTCTACAGGTGGAACCCAGGGCATGCAGGAAGGGGCATGTTCAAGTCTTCTGAGTTCCGTCACATCTGTCCAGGTCTTCCTGTCGCGGTATGTCTGGAGCTATTTTTCACTTCTGCTGTACAAACATGTTAGTGCTGTAAGTGTTTTTCTGCTTTCTGCTTGGATTTTAGTTGATATTTTATTGAACCCCGGCTGTTATTATTAAGAAGATCTGCATGGCATTTTGGTTGGCCGGGTTACAGGTCTGAGGACCTAAGACTCAGCAAAGAAACAGCCCCAGGAGGGGTCCGGGTGCCTTTTCATTGTTTGAGAGCTTAGACCTGCAGGGCCTGGAGTCCTCACTTCCTCCTCCTCCCAACTTCTCCCTCCGGTGTGTAAAGTAAGGCGAATCCTGGGCATAGAGTGTGACTCAGGGAAGAAGAAAGATTGTGTGGAGTAAGTGGGTGTGTCAAGGATCTTTTCTGTTATTTACAAATGAATTAAAATGCTATGCCTCCACTAGGAAAGTAGCAAAACTTAAACATTGCTATAAACTCTTCTCTTTCTTTGAGTTCTCGTTCCTCTGTAACGAATTTGGGTCCAGATAGTTTAAAAAAGTAAGAATTTTAGGAATAAGGCAGGATGGGTCTGCATCTTTTGGATATTAAGTGCATGTACATAGGGATCTACTTTTCACATTTGTCTTAGCAAATATTTCACCATTAAATGATTAAAGTGCTTCCTTTAGGATCAGTGTACAAACCAGAATTTAGTAGCATTGGTGGCATTAATTATTATCATGATGCCTTTCCAAGCTCTTCAGAGGTTATTACATTTAATGAGCACCAGCGTCACCTGGTAGACTTGTGCCCTAAGCCCCGCCTCCGTCTGATGGGAGATTAACAAGTACAATGTTTGTCTTCCTATACTTGTTCAAGTGGAAAAGAACTAGACTGGGTTGCTTCAGCTGATTGTTACCATGGCAGCTGTTAGATGTTTTGGTAAATTGAATTGCTTCTACTTCACTTCCTCATGCAGCTGTCACCTTTCCTTTCTTCCACCCAAATGTGATGAAGAATCTTCTGTTATTGATATGTGATGTCATTGTCATTATTTCACCTAAATTTATTCCACGAACACCGAGTGCCTGCCATGTGTCAGATACTGTCATAGGTACTGTGCTAGGTTCCTGGGGACAGAAGAAAAGGGTGAGATGTAGTTCATGCCCTCAAGATGCTCATAGTATGGGTGAAACAATTCTCAAAAATGTCATCCAAGAACATTTAAAGGCAAGAAGGATATTTTCAGGAAACTCCATATATGGTGGACATAGCCCAACAGACTGCTGCAAGCAGGAATTGTCTTTCAAGTCGAGAGTTTTTATCCTTTTAAAAAAGTTCATTTTAGTGCATAATATACTAGGGCTTATTTTAATATACAGTATGTTTTCTTCCAAGGGGGAAATTGTCTCTCCAGGGAGGTAAACCACTCCATTTTATGGCTTTGTTTCTTACCTGGCACTCCCTTTGGGCAACCCCCTCCCCACCCTCATGCCAGTCCTGAAGATAGTCACATCCAGTTTGAGAAGAATGGATATTAAGTATAAGATTATTGAGCTTCTGTAATGATGACAAAGTATGGTAGTATTGACGTGGTTTCCATTGCAAAGGCCTTTCAAACAAAATATCAAGTAATTCTGATTAAATTCTGCAGTCACTAATAATTATGATATTAGAAGACAACATTGCATTATGACGGAGTGAAAACAGCCTTTGGGATGTGCGCCAATACATTCTTAAGTTGGTTTTCTTTTAGAAAATTGAGGGCCCCTTTTCTTTTAAAGATGAGGGAGAAGAATGTCCCAGTGTGACCTGTTAACCTGGGAGCATGGTAGGTGTGAATGGTTTGCAAGATGAGGATGGGCCCTTGCAACTTAGTGGTAAGCTTGAACAAGGTCAGGCATGAGGTGAACCAGGTGGGGTGATAGGGTTATGCAAGAGAATTCAGGAAGGAAGGTGATACTAGGCCAAGAAAAGTCTGGAAGTAGGAAGGGACTATGGAGGGGAGGATGGGACAGGTAGAGAGCAGACATAAGGTAGTCTAGCCAATTTCTGGTGCTGGGGAAATTGGTGAAAGGGAGTTTTCTACCTAGTAGATTCTCAGCAAATGTTTGCTGAATGAATCGGATAAACAGGTATTCTTTAATTTCTTGGTTCATTTATCTGTATTTTGAGAGGAACCGGGACTACCTGTGTGGGAACTGTAGACAGACTGCCAAAACGGTTTATCTTAACATGCCCCTGTCAGTAGAATGATGGTTGTTAAACTCAAGAGGAAAGGCTCAGCAATTGAACACCAATCCCACTTAATTGGGAAATGTTTAAAAATATGCAGCTGTCAGTAGCCAGAGGCAAAGTTTCAGTACTGGTCTGCATAATTTTATATTTCCCTGTCTTGGGTTACAGTTTACCCTTTTTCAGTATAATCGTCTTCTTTTGTCATAGTGGGGTTGCTTCATCAGCTTACCTAGTTTATAGGGTATGGTGCTCGGCCAGGAAGGGCCAAGGAAGAGGAGAGATGGAGGTGAAGAAAGAGATGAACTTAAGGTGGAGAGGGAGCCAGAGAGCAAGAGAGAGGGCCAGAGACAGGGTAGGAGAGTGAGTGGAAGACAGAGATCAAAGGACAGATGAAAAGGAAGGGAGAGGCTGATTGCTACCATCTTGCCTCAGTTTCTCCTCTTTTCCACTCGGCGAGCTTGTGGATGTGTTTGTACTGTTTAAAGTTAAATGCATTTCTTTCCACACACATGACCAGTAATAACGTGTTTTCATCCAAGGAAGTAAGATTTGTTCTAGCTTTGCAACATGATGGCGGGCCACACCCCAGTCCTGGATGAGGTTCAAGGGTGGTTTTATTTTATGGGCTATTTACCTGTGGTACTGGCTTTGCAAATGATCGTGTGTTAGCTATGGATTTCCTGAAGGTTCCTTTGCCTTTTCTGGATTCTCAGTCAGGGTCCTGACATCTAAGTCTGGGTTTATGTCTGTATCTCTTTATTTTCTTCTAAAGTAACTGATGCAGATCTGTAGGTTTTTTTTCTCTCTGTCTTAATACCTCCTCTGTATCCTTACCCAGCCGAGTAGGGGAACCTGCCTGTTTCAACAGAACATCAGCTTTACTTTTAACCTTTGAGCCTTCTTCCTGGGTCCTGTATGTCTCTGTGTGTGGCTTAGGTTTTATGGACTCTGTTTGCTGGCGGTGGTTGCATCTGATTCTGATATTTGAATTTAATCTCAAGGTAGCCGTTTCTTTTTGACCTTTTGATTGATGGAAAGGTATTCTGGTCTTCTGGTCCTTAGAGAACCTTTGGTTTTGGCCATCTGAGGAGTGGCCTGCCCTGACCCTCTGATCATACTGATTGCTCAGAGCTTTACTCTCAGAATTTGAAGAAAGACGATTTATTCTGTTTTTATGGATTTTAGGGCAAAAAGACTTAAAACTGAGTGTCACTGGGAAGACTATATGCCTAAAGACTCTGCTGTAGTTTTTCTTGGTTCCTGAACTTTTGATTTACTCTTCTCCCAAATTACTGTTCAAATTCATGGTCGTACTATATAACATAGTTATCACTTTAAGCTTTTGAAAATCTTTATCTGTTTCTTGATTTCTACCTGGAGTACTTAGTTTCTTTTCACTTCTAAAACAGAGCTAGCTGCCTCATGCTGCTCTGCCTTGAATGGAGTTTCAGAAGCTGAGGCTGAAAGGAGAACCTTTAGATGTTGGTGAAGGTGAGTATGATTAGGAAAGGTTGGGTGATTCAACACGTGTTACCTTTTACTCTCTCACTCAGTCCATTCTCTAATTCAATGAACGTATGAATTACGTTATTGCTTCATGGATAGCCTGTTACCATTTAGGTAGTACTACTTGACTACAGCATGTAGCTTGAGAGAAGAAATGGGAAGAGATTATTTATCCTGGGTGTTCAGGGTTGCTCCTCCTGACTGTATCAGTCTTGTATGAGGTTGTAAAATGGAAAGTAAACACTGTCTCCCAGAGGGAAGTTGGAGTGGTGGAATTTATTTATGATTTCCCTGGACTTATTTTCTCAAATAAACAAGTTCATTGCTTCAACTTGGAAATATTTGGGGTATTCCAAATGACCATTGCTTTTGCCAGAGTAATTATGAAAAGAGAAAAGTGAATTTTAACCCTTGCATAGCTTATATGTCCCATAAAAACTAGGATAATAGCTGCAGGAGTGCAAGTCTGCTTCTTC